AGGAGAGAAGAGAGGAGAGGAGATGGAATGGAAGATAGAAGATAGAGAAGAGAAGAGGAGAGAAGAGAGGAGAGGAGATGGAATGGAAGATAGAAGATAGAGAAGAGGAGAGGAGAAGACAGAGAAAATGGAATGGAATGGAATAGAGAAGATAGAGAAGAGAAGAGAAGAGAAGAGAAGAGAAGAGAAGAGAAGAGAAGAGAAGAGAAGAGGAGATAGAATGGAATAGAAGATAGAAGATAGAGAAGAGAGGAGAGAAGAGAGAAAAAATAGAATGGAATGGAGAAGATTGAGGAGAGAGGAGAGGAGAGGAGATAGAATGGAATGGAAGATAGAAGAGAGAAGAGAGGAGAGGAGATAGAATGGAATAGAATATAGAAGAGAGGAGAGAGGAGAGGAGAGGAGATAGAATGGAATAGAATATAGAAGACAGAAGAGAGGAGAGGAGATAGAATGGAATGGAAGATAGAAGAGAAGAGGAGAGGAGAGAAGAGTAGATAAAATGGAATGGAAGATAGAGAAGAGAAGAGAAGAGAAAAGAAGAGAATACAGAAGAGAAGAGAATAATAAATTTTAGAACAGAATATAGAATAGTAAGAAGAAAAGAGAATACAGAATAGAATAGAATAATAGAAAATAGAATGCAGAATACGGAGGGAGCTCCCGTGACTTGTCCCAGCTTCTGCCAACCTAGCCGTTCGAAAGCACGTGAAAAATGCAAGTAGAAAAATAGGAACCACCTTTGGTGGGAAGGGAACAGCGTCCCGTGCGCCTTCGGGAGTTGAGTCATACCAGCCACATGACCACGGAGATGTCTGGCTCAGCGCTGGCTCTTCGGCTTTGAAACGGAGATGAGCACCGCCCCTTAGAGTCGGGAACGACTAGCACATATGTGCGAGGGGAGCCTTTACCTGTGGTGGTAAAAGGAAGGACTACCTCTAAACTCAAAGTTTCAGGGCCCCAGGATCCGTACCTGTTAATCCCACGTCCAGCAAATTCATGATGGTGGTGTCGGCTCCCTTTGTGTACACCACAACCTGATTGAACATGGGGTGCTTCACAACCACCGACATGCGTTTCCGGGTGGAGTCGAAAGGCAGGATGTGGAGAAGCTGAAACGTTAACGTCCCCAACGGCGCGAAGTCGATCTGCACCTGCTCGGGACTTCTAGTTTTCAAGGTGCATTGGTACGCCCGGGCTGCGTGGACCAAGGCCGCTTCGTCGGGACTCTCTGCCTCGTAACATATTTCTTGCCCGCTTAACGACTCGTACGACAATTTGGCTAGCCGGTCATCGGGCAACCTTAAAATGTCTGGCATTTTGGGGCTGGGGGAGGCCGCTGGCATTTCCAGCGTGTCCGACAACTGCGCGGGAGAAGACGGAAAGTTGACGTGAACGGACAGTCTTTTGGATTTCTTGGGTTTCTCTTTACGTCCCCCGGAGGAATCTGGGCCTTGAGAGCTCATTTTGCGACTTGACAACCTCTGGAATATATTTTTAAATTCACCCAGGTTCAAAGCGGGCATTTTGACCATGGAAGACCACCGTCTCTGTGACAGAAAGAATGAATCCATAAGTACAGGGAGCCCTCGACTTAACGATGCCTCGCTTAAGGACAAAGTTGGAATGGGCACTATAATACTATAAAATCTCCTCTGATGATGATTGATTGGGTGGGGAGGGGGGGAAGAGTATATAGACCAGCGTTTTGCAGACTTGACAACATTAAGATATGTGGACCAACTGCCAGAATTGCTTAGCCAGATGTTTGAAAAACACAAAATACAAAACGCACAGTGATTATAAAAAGTTTAAAGCTGAGGGTTTTTGTGTCCTGGTGGGAGGGAGGGAGGGAGGGAGGGAGGGAGGGAGGGGAAGGAAGGACATAGGTTGAGATAGATAGATAATGGATAGTTGGATGGATGGATGGATGGACGGATGGATGGATGGATAGAAAGATATAGATAGATGATAGATGGTAGATGATAAATAGATAGATGGATGGATGGATGGATGGATGGATGGATGGATGGATAGATGGATAGATGGATAGATGGATAGATGGATAGATGGATAGAAGGATAGATGGATAGAGGGATAGAGGGAGAGAGGGAGAGAGGGAGAGAGGGAGAGAGGGAGAGAGAGAGACAGCCAATGAGAGATACAGATAGAAAATGACAGAGGGTGGAGAGA